TCTGGTTTTACATTTCTGGAACCTAGGATATAAGAGATAGTGAAATTAAAATGGGGAAAAAAAACAGTGGCCAGCGGGCATGCCTAGAGTTAAGTCTTGGCGTTTTACAGGTAGGCAAGGTTCTTGTGATCTGTCCAGATCATGAATGGTACCTCTGCTCCCTCCAACCAGTGACGCCACTCTTCCAAAGAGAGTTTAATTGCCAACAGCTCTGTTTACCACATCATAGTTCTGTTCAGCTGGRGAAAGGCATTTAGAAAAAAATGCACACGGGTGAATCTTATTGTCGATTTTGGATCTTTGAGAAAGGACTGCACCCACTCCAAGATCAGATGCGTCCACCTCGACAATAAACTGGTTGGTAGGATCTGGGTGGCACAGGATGAGAGCAGTAGAAAATAGAGCCTATAACTCACCAAAAGCTGCGTCTGCATCTGGAGTCCATTTAAATGTCTTGAGTGGAAGACAATTGGGTGAGGGGTGCTGCCACCTTGCTGTAGTTCTTTATGAAACGCCGATAAAAGTTGGCGAAGCCCAGAAATCGCTAAAGTTGTTTTGATCAGAAGGAGTGGGCCAACTGGTGACAGCTTTTACCTTGTCAGGATCAGTACAAAAATGTCCTTTGTCAAAAATGAAGCCCAGAAAAGAGACAGGTTACATGAAATTCACACTTTTCAGCTTTGGCAAATAGTTTTCATACAACTGTTGTAGGACAGCTCAAACATGTGACTTGTGTTCAGATTCATCTCAGGAGTAGATCAAACTATCGTCTAAATAGACGAACACAAAATCATTTAAAAAATCCCTCAGAATATCATTGATGAGAGCCTGGAAGACAGCAGGGGCGTTGGTGAGTCCAAATGGCATCACCAGGTATTCAAAATGCCCTAATGGTGTTTTAAAAGCCGGCTTTCACTCATCCCCCTTCTTTATTCTTACCAAATGATAAGGGTTTCTAAGGTCAAGTTTAGAGAAAATGGTTGCAGAGTATAGCTGTTCATGGACAGAATCTATCAACAAGAAGAGGATATTTGTTCTTGACAGTAATTTGGTTCAGGCCACGGTAGTCTATGCAAGGTCTGAGTGTTTAGTCTTTTTTTCCTCTACAAAAAAGAACCCTGCACCCAAAGGAGAAGTGGAGGGGTGGATAATACCAGAGGCTAAAAAGTCTTCAATATACTCCTTCATAGATTCTCTCAGGCCCTGACAGATTATATGATTGAATAGAGGGAAGAGGTGCGCCAGGTAGCAGTTTGAGTGCACAATCATATGGTCAATGAGGAGGAAGTGACAAAGCCTTTTGTTTACTAAAAACTGGGGCTAAGTCATGATAGACTTCAGGAACTTCAGATAAGTCCACCTCAATCTGATCTCTCTTTAACAGAGCAGGTTATGGCAGAGCGTAAACAGTTTTGAAGATAGTATTTACTCCAGCTTTCTATTCTCTTCTCTGGCCAGTTGAACACAAGGTTATGTTTAGTCAACCATGGAAATCCAAAAACCAATTGGGGACAGGTAGATTTAAAAAAAAATACTCACCTACTTCATGGTGATTACCAGAGATGATTGCGTGGAGGTCTGAGACACAGGCATTTATATGGGAGATGACTTGTCCACTTATCCCAGCCACCGTGCGAGGAGAATCGAGGGGTTCAGTAGGAAGCTGAAGTTGTTCCACCAGATCGTTTGAAATCAAGTTCTGTTCAGCTCCGGAATCCACTAAAGCTGATATGGGGAGTTTGATTTGTTTGTGAATGATGGTGGCAGGCAATGATAACAAAGAAGCAGGGGAGAAGCCATCAGAACCCATCAAAGTCCCCTGATTTAATGACTGGTTGGTCCGTTTCCCCGGACCGGACAGGTAGCGAAAAAGTGCCCTTTGTTCCCACAATAGATACGTACTTTAGCTGCAATTCACCTCTGTCTCTCCTCGGGAGTTAGACGTGTCCAACCCACTTGCATCGGTTCCGGTTCAGGAGGTGGTGAGTGATGAGTGGTAGGAACCTCAACAGCAGGGAGGAAACGGAGAGGCAGAGGATTGTGGGAAGTGGAGTCTCTCTTCTTCGTTCTATCAATCTGTTGTCGATTCTGATAGCAAGAGAAATTAACTCATCCAAACTCCCAGGTTCATCCCGGGAAGCCAGTTGGTCCTTAAGAGAATCAGAAAGGGAGTTAAACGTACCCTTGAGTGCCAACTTGTCCCATCCAGATTCCTCAGCCAGAATGCGGAAGTCGATCGAGTGATCCGAAACCGATCTCCGACCTTGTCTCAGTGTCAACAAGTGTTTGGCTGCTTCTTCCTGCTGGAGGGGATGGTCAAAAACTTTTTGAAACTCCTGAATAAATAATTGAGAAGTTAAAGTTTCCATAGAATGTGAAGCCAAAAATGCTTGTGCCCACCGTAATGCTTTGCCCTTTAATGCTGAGACTATGTATGTAATTCGGGCAGAGTGATTGGGAAATAGAGATGGAGAACGAGAAAGAGCCAATCTGCATTGCAGCAGAAATCCCCCACAATGTTCGGGGTTACCTTCAAAGAACTCTGACAGTCTCAGGTCAGGCTCACGACCAGGAGTGGCGATGGTTGAACTCTGGGGAGCCGCAGAGGATTGAGCAGAAACTGTGGAAGGAGTTTAATTACTGATTTTGGTATCAAGAGAGGCAAGGCGATTAGACACTTGATCTAATAAGGAACCCATAGACTGCTGCATCCGAAATAATTGATGAAACATATCATGGCGAGTCATTCTAGTTTCTAGTTTCAAGGGATCTTAAGGGCTGTTTGTCACTGGCACTGCTCTTTGACATACTGATGCATACTATCAGGTACGAGGTTTTAGTCAAAGTTTTGAGCAATGCAATGACAAACAGACCCAGAGACAGAATAAAAAAGCAAGTGCTTTTATTTACATGTGATGGGGTTTTGGGGTTCAGTCCTGGAAGGGAAGAGGGTCTGGGTGAGTAATGGAGCAGATAAATAAATGGAGAGGATTTTGCAGGGAAATAAGTTTTGTTCTTACAGGAGGGAGGTGAAGGCTCAGCACTGAGGAGTAGGTCCAAGGTTTCCAGGTGAGAAGAGGGTCTCTGAGGTAAGTGGTGTTTCCAGTTAGAGGCAGACAGGCAGCGCAGCACGGGGACAGGTGAGTAGCTGTCTTTCAGGGGCTTCAGGATCACAAGAGGAAGATCGTCCAGGTAGAGATCAAAAGGCATCTGAGCACGAAGAACAACAGGATTATAAAAACTCCAAGAAAAACTCATGGAGGGGCTGAGAATCATACCAAAGGTAAACGATGATCAGCGAAGAACTGATCTTCAGGTCCTTCTTATGAAGCCAACAGTGATGAGCCTGATTAGTAGCAGCTGCAGCCACTTGGAGGTGGTAGCCAATCAGGAACCAAACAGGTGAGAACATGAAAAAACACTGAATGCCTCAATAATATTAAACATATGAGATGAATAATGCAAAGCTTGTATAGGAAAAACTAAAATTCCGTGCTTCTTGGTTTAGTTAACTTACTTAACTTTTAAATTATAAAAATAGAAACAAGCAAAAAGAAAATACTGTAAAGTAGTTACTTATTTGAACAGGAAAATCATTTATTAACTTCAATTTTTTATGAACATATAAATTAGTCCATCTTGATTATTATACATTTCTTTTGTTTTTGTGAAGTAATGAAATGTGAGAGGGTGGACATTTACAAGCTGCAGCTTCAATATTTCTCTGACTGGTTATATTTTTGTCTTAGACTTTGCTAATCAGTACATTTGATTTTTGCTTGTTTATTTTTTCTTTTTTATTGTTTGTTTTTTAAATATTGTTCTTTTGTTGCTTCACTTGTAATTTTAAAATAAAACATTCAAATTAAAGTAGTTAAAACTCACTGAAGGCAGACTAAGCAGATTTCAGAAAGAAAAAAAATCTAATAATATTTTGATATGTGTGTACAGATCCAGACTGGAAACGTAGCAGAAGCTATGAAATACTGCCACCAGACAGTAAGTAAAAAGAAGGAAATAAATTTTAATTTGATGTTTCACATGTTTTAGATTTACCACATTTAGTGTTTAATAATCAAACTGGTGTGTGAATAACTGCAGTTTGATCATTTTATACTGCATTAGTTTGGTGTTAGTCCTCTTATCTTAAATGATAAGTTACAAGTTTATATTTGACAGTAACAGTTTACCAGTGACTACAAGGCCATACTGTTGTGATTATTGTATGAAGATAAGACCATCCCAGTCCTACACTGTTCAACACCTGATCACACACACACACACACACACACACA